TAAAATAATTTGGTAGATTGAAATGTCATTTAAAAAAGATAATTTTTTTGCTATATTAATAAATAAAAAGCTTCCAACTTAAAATTGAAAATCAAAGCTGGTGAACTAAAAAAATACGTGGCTTTCTCATTATGACCAGATATTTTTAATGACATTTTAAGTATGAATACACACATGCTCAGAACTATTCAGTGCAATTCAAAGAGAAAATAATTCTAAAAATATATTTGGGTTTTGATTGCTTTCCTTTGATGAAACTTCATTTCTCGAGAGAATATTCACTTGAATGGAGATGAATTGAAGCTTCAGATTTTTTTTGTCTGTATTTGACAGAATGGTTATTTTTGTTATCCCAGTGTTCTGATGATGTCATGCTCTGTTAAAGGACTCTCTCATGGTGCTTTGCCTTATTGTCTGCTGAAGTCCGTGACTGGTTGGATCCAGAGAGTTTTCCCTGTGTTGCTGTACAAACAGCCACATGTTTTATTCATTTCTGTGTAATATTTCTGACATCACTGTGTGAACTAACATTCCGTGATCTCTTCACCCGAACTGTTCAAGGGGTTGTGATATCAGCTGTTCCCACTTCAACAGGCAGATGGGGCTGGGTCACAGAAGCAGTGCTGTTTCCTGATTGTTAGAAGCAACGCCTTGACAAAATGGCACTTTGTGACAAAGCCAAGATATATATTCGAGAAATTTGTTTTTTTTTTAATAATGTAACTATAGAAGGCACACTGTACCTACAAAAACAGAAACAGAAATGGATGCAGTAGCTTACAGTTGTAGTGATGTTTTACAGGTGAGCCTGCAAAGCACTATCACAAAACGTATTCTGCCACTTCTCTGTGTCCTTCAGACTTTTTGTTGCCTTATCTCTCAACACCTAGTATTCTTCTAAGATCTGTAGACAAGCTCTCAGGACAGCTCTCAGGAAGAGTCACATCTTCTTCGAAATGCTTGTTTCTTATTACCAAGTATGCAACAGTCCAAGTCTATACCATTGATGCATGTGAGTAAGGAAGGCTTTCTGATAACCCTGCACAGTACTGGTCACAGTCTATCAGGGTTGTACCAGTCTTGAGAAGACCTCTGTTTAACGCCTAATTTCCACTGCCAGTGTGGCTGGGCTGGGGCCCCACCTATTGGGTTAATGATGGCCATACCAAGTCAATAAACAAATATATTGCCACAGTCAGTCTTTGGTCTTTTGCCCAGGTTTATGGGATTGTGTTGTGGACCCTGTCTAAAGATACCCATAGTAACACTGTTCAGAAAAATAACTGTCCCATCGTAGTACAAATGTGGTGGAAAAAAGAACATTTGTCTTTGTCCGAGTAACATTTGTCCGAGTAACTGCATCATTGTGGTTTTCATACATAAAAAAGTTCTATTGACCCTGAATCCAAACTAGCCACCTGTTAATACACGTTCAGGCTTCTATATGACTGTCTTCTTTCAAGAAATGGCAAGAAGCCTTGGATCAATTAGCTATTAACTTCCAAAAGGGCTAGATGAGCCGAATTACCTCTTCTTCCATTCCTACAGTATGTTCTGAAGAGCCGTAACTCCACATTGTCCTCAACAGCATTTTCTAAAGCTAATATTCTGAACCACAAAGCAAACTGAAATTGAATCATTACAACAGTGTGGAGTAGTGATTGATGACTAGGTAAGCACAGCAATAGTGTCTTTGAGCAAGGCACTGTACTTCAGTGAAAAAAAACATTTGGATAAAAGCATCATCTAAGACTAATGAATACTACTCTCTGCTTTGCAAGAGAGCAGTGGTGATCTTAGCAAAAAGTAGCAAAACCGTAGCAAAACGTTTTTACTTCACTTTAAGCTGGGTTTTTGCTTGGCTGCTTAACATTTTAAAGGTCAAATTCATAAACAATTTGGTTGTTCCCATGTTGACTTGCTCCTCCCTGATCATGTACCTACTATGATACTGGGCCAGGTCAGAACATAGTAAAGTGTTTCCAGTAACACAGAACAGGAGTGTAGCCGACCATGTAAGGGGCATAGAAGGAACTCTTGCCAATAGGCTCAGGAGTGATCAAAGCTTATTGAAAGGGTCCTCCAGAACTAGACCATCAAAGATTCTAGGATTCTAGCACCACAAGCTTGTTCATTGCTTGCTTATCTAATTGTTAACTAATTTACCGTGAGTGAAAACATGGACTGTGGGATCCAGGAAGAACTTGCAGACTTGAAAGGTACAGAGAGAGAGATATGGCTGGTGAGATGTTCGAAGCAAAGCATGGCACCAGTGGGTGTTCATTTTTGCAAACTAATTATAATTAAACACATAAATAACCACATAAAACAGAATAAAAATAATTTACCGAAGCACAGAGAAAACCGCTGCTGTGAATTAATGATTCACTGAATTAATTCCGCAGCTTTGTCTCTTTTGATGTTGCAATAAAAAGACCTAATTGAATTAACTTTCGAGCTTGAAGCATAATGTCATTCCTTTGTCTATTACACAATAAGTACAGTTTGATGGTAATTTAGCTTTATTTACCTATTACCATGACCAATGTCTTTCATACTGAAGCAATTAGCTTCTGATATCAGTCTCACTTCTTCGTATGATTTAATCTTAACTACAGGGTGCAGTGTATGCATGCCACTTCACAATTTCTGCTTTATTGTCATAAATTCATTTCCACTTCCTGGGATGTCTCTGGAGTGTTTGAGTGAAGTGTAAATTGTCTCAGGTCTGCCCACATACTGCACAATCACACCCAATCTGCTAAGATGATTGTTTGGCCATGGTAAAGCATCTTGTTTCAGCTTTTTACTTCACTCAGATTATTTTACTTTTTTAAACTTTTTTTCATGTATATTTAAGTTATATGAACAGCATTGGATTTTATTTTTTAATACAATTTAGAGTCTACAATGTTCTCATTCACTTGAGGTCTGTCTCATGTCTGTGTGTTTAGAGTAAAATAGGATATATTAGAACCTCGCTGCTGTATTTATGTCTTATTTATAAAAGAGTACTGTATAAATACTTTTCTGCATCAAATACTACAATATCCAGTTATTTTGGTTTTCTAATTCACAGTGAGGTCATTTACTGTTTTTGAAACTTCATGCTAATCTCTGAAAATCCAAACACATAATTCTGTCATGCTGGAGTTTTTCATTTTAAAAAGCTAATTAATACATCTGAATAGGTGAAGTAAATCAGTTTCAGTTTCAGTTGGAACTTGTGTGTGTTCTCTTTCATTAAATTTTCAACTTGCTCTTAATTTACCTGAGATTGTAGTTATTAGTAATATGAATTTAGTGGACACATTGCCGCTTTTTGCCGATTTCAGTGGTGCATCCTTCCAAGCCTAGTATATTTATCTTACAGGATCTGTCCTCTCAAGAAATGGATAGATTTTGTCCTACGTGCATAACTACTACAAATGAACCCACTGGGACAATATGTCTGTGAATATAAATGTATATACATTGCGCTATGCAATATTGCATATTGCAATATTTCATATTTTCTGTGAACTGTGTTCAGAAATGGGGTCTGTAAGATTTGTGGAGTTTTCATTGTTGGCAGCACTTGAATTCCACAGACAGGTGCACTACACCTGAATGCCTGATGAGTGTACAGCAGAGTTTGGTGCGCAGTGTGCACTCCCCCTTCACTCTTATTGCATTACGAGGTGTTAAGATACACAGAAAGGGTTTTGGTTTAAATCTGAAGGGAAGTCTTTTTGTAAGTATTTTGTTTCAGAAAAGGATTTCATGAAAAGGCTCTCTTTATTATTCCGTGAAAGGCTTTTATTTATCCCCTTTTTTCATTTTAAGGTTGATTATTGTGTGTTCCGATGGCCTGTGCAACCCCCTTGCTTGAGTTTCACGAAGGAACTTTGATCCCTCCGGTTTGATTAGAACGCCTCCATCATCAAAACATTTCCACAGCTGTGGATTTCCGCTGTTTGTTAGTTTATTTCTTTAAACAGAGAGAAATGTTGACCTTTAATGAGGCAAACAACTTGACAGAATTCAGTTACATAAAAAAAGACATGTGTGCTGATATGGAATTGAAAAAAGAAGACATTTGTGTTCCTACATTCAGTAGAAAGTTCCCCACTGCTTTTCCATCTGCACTGGCAGTTCTGATCGTGGACATCTGGTATCAAAGCTACCCTCAAATCCAGGCGTTCGGCTCAACAATGGGATCAAAGGATCTATTGCTATTATCATGTATGTTGTAGCTGCATCTTTCTTTACTGTTTCTTCTGCTTCTCCTTTTCTGTTGTCTCTTCTTCTTCGCCTCACCCTCTCTATCCTAGTTATTTGTTTGGTGGTTGTGATTTTCTATTCTCCTGCTTCTCACGGCTTGTTCTTGGCATTTTATTGCTGAACATGTTCCTGCTCTTTAACTTCCATTCCTGTTTTTCTTGTCCTGATTCCTTCACTTCTCCCATCCTCCTCCCCTTTCCATTCTTGTGATGCTCATCTCTGTTTGCTTACCACCATTCAGTCTTCTTCACGCCCTCGTTCTTCATCTCTTTGTTTAATTTCTACGTGTATTTGGCTGGCACTTTTATCTACAGAAACTTACATTTGTACATGTTAAGACAGTTTGGCATTTTGAATCTGAGGGGAGCTCAGGGTCACGACAGCAGGGCCTCAACCCACATCTGAACCCTCAGACCTACATGGCCAATTCTCTCTCATTCTCTTTCTCCCCATCTTTTTGCTGTTACCCCCCACTCCCACACCTGCTTGTTCCTCCCAAGGTTGGTAGGATCATTCTTATCCTTCTCAGTCACTTCTTCCTTGTCTCTGTAGTGGCACTAATAGCAATAACTTCAGAAAACCTGTTTTTCTGACTTAATTTTCTGTTAAAGTGGTTATGTTGTAAAAATATTAATATTTCACGGCCCTGTTCTCCTTTTCCTTCTTAACACGGTCCCACCTCTTTTCCTCCTTTCTTCCTCTACTTGTCAACATCACTGAGTTTCTGTGTATTGCAGCTGTGAGCCCCAGGATAATGTTCTCATCCGGGATAGCTGGGCTGGGTCGACGGAGATGATAAAAGGAAACACGTACAAGGTGAGGACAGATCCTCCTGCAGTGTATCTTCAGTCTAGAGAGATCTGAAGAAATGAAAAGAAAGCATGTTTGCTTCCATCTAGTCTGTCAGAATACAAGAAGACCAAATTAGATCAAACAAGGTCAATTAGATATAGAATCGAACTTCATTTCCTTACCTTTTCCACACTGTAACATCTACAGTGTACCATGCACATACTTGTTCGACTAAAGTCTGTGAGAAAGAATAATGTAAATTCCTGCATACAGTATGCTGAAAATTGGTTTCATTAATACGCCATCGACACTGCTTTCCCAAACCAATGCAGGTAAATAACATGTTGTCTGTCTAAAGCTGGTTTAAACCAAATTTATTCTCAGCTAATGTTTCTTGCCTTCCTACCCATCTGCTGGTCCCAACGGTTCCATTTCACTGTGTGTTGAAATTAATAATGCTGAAATGTACTATACTGTAATGACCACAGGTCTAAGTTGCTTAACAGTTATAATTTATCTAGTCATATTATTGCTGTAAATGTGAGCTTGCTAAGAGGTCAGTAACCTGCATGACCTTCACATGTGTGAGAGAAATATCAGGAGCCAGTGATGTGTGGTCAATGTGTAAGAGAGACGTTGAATGGTGTTGCAGTCAGTGTGTATGATGCCTTTTTTAGTGTCTGTCCTCAAACTGTGTTGAATGTCTCTCTACTGATTGGATGGAAATAAAATTCATCTCCCAGTCTTCTCGTTTCAGCTGGATAATGACTCTTCCCTCCTGGGGCCTGAGGACCATAGAGTGGGTCAGCATCTGAACCAGTGCTTCTTGAAGGAAGAGTGGGATTATGGGATAATTTCCACAGAGAGTCGCAAACTGACAGAACCTTCATTGCTGCCCTCTTTCTGGCTGCAGCAGGAGTCTTTGGTAATGTAACCTCTAAATGTTGCCTCTTTAAATAATTATATGTCTTAACTGTGGAGCATAATCACCAAATGAGCCTTCTGTGTAATATGTTTATTTTCTTTTCATCATTTATAAAATATGGTACGAACAGGCACATGTACGAACATGTGTAGCTTGGTCAGTAGGGCACATGGCTATCAATTCTGATATTGTCTGTTCAAGACCTGTGCAAATAGGCAAATTTGATAAGTTGTCTCTCCCTACTTTCTAGCTAATCACTGTGATGGGATAGGATAGGATTCTATGTCTTTACTGAACAGATGATAAGTACATACATAAGATGATAAGAGTATACAGAGTATACTCTGGTATACTGTACCAAAGTAAGTTGTGGATCTTCAGAAAAAAATAAAGACTTAAGAATACTTATTTTGGTAATAACATGGTACTGTTTTTTATTTTATTTGTATATTTCTTAGTTGCAAATGTTACTGTCAAAGAGTATTATGCTACCCATATATACTGTATATATATAGTTTCAGTAATAATGATGGTTGTATATGAAACTGTCACCACCAAATACACAAAAAATGTGTATTCATGTATAGCAGTGCTGCTCGAATAACTGTTCTGTCTCTTGATGTGAAAGAAGTGTTGATATTCACAGCAAATCCATCAGAGAACTGAATTAGTCTCAGAGTACCATCAGAAACTACTTTAACATATTGGAATAATGTGGACTGAAATTTTTACAGTGCAATTACGAGAGAAACTCCTGTGATTCACTGCAAAGACATCACCCACATGGATTCATCAAAGAGACAGAAAATAAATAATCAAAATGATGAATTATCGACATTTCTTTGTCTTGTCTTTTCATTTTAGTATTGAATTTTACACTGTATGAGGATTTAACTACTTGTAACTCTTTATTTGATCATTTTTCAGTTTCAATTTTGGATCGATTGTGGCTTTATTTCATGCATAGCATAGGGAGTGTGTATAAATGCTCTTCAACAGTGCTTCCCTGAAGAGCATAAGGTAGCAAACAATTGTACTGCTGGAGGCTAGCAGATCTATTGAAATGTTGATGCTAAACATGTATTAGATGTTTGTATTCCAGTTCTATTACCCTTTCCCCGTGAAAAAGATCTACAAAGAGACATGTGGCATGACTATTAGTTTTTGCCATTAATAGTCATTGCCATTGTATATTTATTTGAAAACCCTTGATCCCACTCCAATGGATAAACATACTCGTCCACTACCTTTTCTAGAACTAAGGATTCCTCTATGTTGTTAGCAACAACAGCGGTAGTAAAAATTATATCAACTATAGCATCTTGAGTGGCCTCTCACCATGCCTAAGTACTGCAGATACGCTGAGTTTTCAGTCTTGTAATAAGAATTAGAGGGACAGTCAAGCTAAACACTTTCCTCTGTGGGTGATAATGCAACTCTTTGCTCTGGTGCACAGTGTCCCTGGTCAACTCTCTGCACAAGCTGAGTCTGCGAAATGGCACACTGCTTCCTTGTTCCTTGTGACTAGCTGGCTAATTGATCATGAAATCTGCTGACTTTCTGTAAAGCCTGCTAATGATGTGGCGAGAAGATGGCTGTAGAGTGTGTATGCAGGTTTGTGAATGGGGACATGGCCTTAATAAGTGCACTGAACATCATGTGTGATATTTCCTCTAGGAAGGCAGTGTGGCAGTGCTTTGCTTAACTGTATCTACAGTATGTTATTGTTGAGTGGTGTAAAATCTTTTTGAATTGTTTAATTAAGTTAGCAATGTCACTGGCATGCACAGGGACTTTTGTCAGAGGACAGTTCTGTTCAGTTTATTCGTCATGCACAGTGCTTATACAGTAGGACAGTAAATGTAGTAGGTGCTCTGAGCTGTCATAACTCAATGGAACATTTTCTAAGATCCTGACATTCAGAGTCCTTAAGCTTTGAAATAAAGACAATGAATTCCCTAAGGGAAGAAGTCACAAAAAAGACTTGCCTCTTTTCAGTTATTAACATATGGCCTTATATTCAAAATACATAAGCACATAAAACATATTGCTTCCTGTGGGTATTCATGCACCTGTATTCAGTATAGGGTTTTCTCGTGCATACATGACAGTTCAAAATTGAATGAATGACTGGATCTCCTTAAAGCATTTAATGTTTCATATGTACAATCAGGTTGTAGTTGCCTCATGTTTAACATAACATACTGTATGCTATGCATTTACTTTGCATTTTCTTGGGGTCCCATAGTTGGAGTCATAATTTACCATACTTTCCGTGTGCTTTACTGTAGTGTTCTTTTACTTTTCTTTTACTATGGTGTGCTACAGCAAACTGGTACAGTATATCTGGCATAGCACCAGCACTTTAGAACTACAACTGAGAATGCCTTTGTTCCCAGCATAGCAGATGGACCGTGAATTGTGCTACAAACATGTAGTAATGAATTTATCCAATTAGGAATCTATGTGTCCTGGCAGTTCTCAGTAGACCTGGGAAATGGAGGCTCCCAATCTTAGTGTTCATGCTGTACAAGAAGCTTTACATAGAATTTCAATTTATCTAATGTTCTGACTGAGGCTTCCATTAGTATAGTACAGGGACTTGAGTAGCTAGTGCTCTTTATACTATCCCTGAGCTGAAAATAGGCATGTGCAACAGAGCAGCTACAATAGCAGAAAACCAGGTCCTGAACAGGTGTGAATGTTAAATGGCTGGATCCTTTCATTGGAATGTATGGGACTCCCAGGGCCCAATTTTTAAATGCAGTGTGCAATTAGTATGGGTAACAACTTCATCAAACAATTGAAAAAAAGAGGATATCCTGCACATTTTATGAAGGTGTAGCTTTTCTTAAAATACAGTATATACACTACGAAGTTACTATGTCTGTTAAACCAGGGCAGGGAATAGTCTAATGCCTTGGGCTCTGAATAGCTCTTTAAATTTGACCCTTTCTTAGTAAATTATTTGACACCTGTAGTGTGGTCTGGTAGCTTTTTTTTTTTCAAAAAATGATGAATAGTTTCTGTAATTGGTAGAGTTTAACAGGCAGCCTTCATCTATTCTCTCTTCCACTCTAAACTCGAATATTCCACAGACTGTTCCAATCACTCACTTTATGTTGTTTGTTGAGTATGTTGAGATACGTTGACAAACACTTGAAACTTTCCCCACCAGCACTTCATGAGATGTTCCTATATGGGTAGGATCCCTTATTTCCTCTGGATACTTCCTTATTTGATTGCTTTTTTACAAGATTTCTTTTTCTCTAGTGAAGCTTATCTTGACTTTTAAACAGTATAATTCACACTGTATGTGCTTATCAGGCATTGTGAAACTAGGCCCTAAATGTTACGGGTCACTTAGGATTCCATAATAGAACATAAATACTGAAAAAAGGTGTTCTTTCCATCTTTATCAATTATTAATTCATAATCCTCATTTGTAATTATATTTTTATGAGTACTACATTCCGAGTGCCTAGAAATGTCAGTCTTGCTAGAAGGCATAAGGTGTCTGAAGTACAAATAAGTCAAAGGGATGTGCTGTTTTTTGGAGCTTGAATCTGGGTCAAATTAATTCCTTAACTCAAAGGAGTAAAAAAATAAACAACAGGCAATGCTGTAAAGTCAATTTATATAAAATTACTTAGCTCTCTGTGAATAATTGTCAGCAGCCATATCACCCTGCAACTCACAACTGGCAACCTACTGCAGCTAAGCAGGTGTGAGCCTGGTCAGTACCTGGATGGGAGACCTCCTGGGAAAAACTAACGTTGCACTGAAAGAGGTGTTATTGGGGCCAGCGGGGGGCGCTCACCCTGCGGTCCATGTGGGTCCTAATGCCCCAGGATAGTGACGGGGACACTATACTATAAACAGGCGCCGTCCTTCGGATGAGACGTAAAACCGAGGTCCTTCTCAGGACCTTGTAAATCCCGGGGCGCTTCTCGAAAAGAGTAGGGGTGTAACCCCGGTGTCCTGGCCAAATTTCCAATTGGCCCTTACTAATCATGGCCTCCTAATAATCCCCCTCTATGAATTGGCTACATTACTCTGCTCTCCTCCCCACTGATAGCTGATGTGTGGTGAGCGTTCTGGC